TGTTGTATGTTTTAGAGCAGTGTTTCTCAACCTTGGCGACTTTAAGTCCTGTGGACTTTAACTCCCAGAATCCCCCAGCCAGCTATGCTATCCCTAAAGCTGCCTTATATACACTCAGAACTTTGGATAACTCCCCACCGCCCCACCCTAATTTTTCACCGTCTACCTTTGGCTGACCTGGTGTTGGATTATAGCTGTATCATCCCTGACTGCTGGCAATACTTTCTGGAGCTACTGGAGTTGCAGTTCAACATCTTAAATGGCAACTATGCAGAATCCCCCCCCCCCCCGCCAAAGATTCAGGGTAGACTTTCCCATCTCTACTTGGTGATGCAAAAAGAGACTGAGCGAAGAATCTCAAGAGTTTAAAAGATGTAAGTTATCACTGAGCCACTTAAAGCCAGTGTTTGCAGCAGGGGTGGGTTCTGGCGGCAATACAGCTGATTCGCTCGTGTGCATGCTTTGCCCATGCGCAGTGCAATAGAAATTGTGCAATAAAAACTGAAAAACATGATAGTGGCGACCGAGGAACCGGTTCAGGGGCATGGCAGGCCTGGGTCGCCCAGCAATCCAGGCCACCAAACCACTACCGGTTCGGCCCAACCAGTAGGAACCCACCACTGGTTTGTAGGGTTTCCTGCATTCTAAGACCTCCATGAAAAAAGGCAATACCAGTATGTACCAACATATTCAATGCTCCTGTGAACTCAGTGGACCTAGCACTAGTCCACTGTGAAAACTGTCAAATCCATGTCAGTTGAGCCATATGTTCCTGAGGAAGACATGTCCTTTATTATATAGACAGACCCCAGGTGACAGAGAAATCCTGTGGTTGCTTTATAATATCCTGAGAGATTTCCAGGACCAATGGGGGGCAGCAGGGTAGACCAAGGAAAGGACCTCTGATTAAAGCAAATGTTTGAAAAGGAACTTCCAAGAAATACTTGAAGCAGAGCACTGCGTTTGCAGATTTTCCGTTCTTTATAAGAATGGGGAAAAATTATAAACTAAATTAAAATTGTTTTCTTTTTTTCTATGCAATGATAACCACATTTCACCAAATTAAGAAACTGAATGTTTCCTATCCTGGACATCAGCTTTCTTTCACCTGTGCATGATGAATATTAAATTAGGATCTTCTTGGAATCTCTGTATTAATTCGGAATTTTCAAGTCTAGCCTTTGACACAGAACTGTAGTAGACCAGTACCCTCTTTTGGTCTACTTTGTATTTATTAGTTTGTCAAACATGTACAAGATAGCAGGTATAAATATAAACATGGATATGAATGAAAGAAATGAATACAAATAGATGGGGACAGTAGGACAGGGACGTTAGGCATGCTGGTGCGCTTATGCACGCCTCCTTTACGGACCTCTTAGGAATGGGGTGACGTCCACAACAGACAGGTTGAAGCTGTGGGGAGGGGGTTTAACAATGTAACAACGGAGTCAGGTAGAGCATTCCAGGCGTTGACCACTCTATTGCTGAAGTATTTTCTGCAATCAAGTTTGGAGCGCTTTACTTTGAGTTTGTATCGATTGTTTGCCACTGTATTATTGAGGTTAAAGCTGAAGAAGTCGTTGACAGGTAAGACGTTGTAGCAGACAATTTTGTGTATTGTGCTTAGACTTGGGGCATCATTGATTTTATTTTAATCAAGCTTCTCTTGATCTGTACTTGAACTCCTTCACCTCTAAATACTTGAATCTTACAGTAGTGGGAAGAGATTTTTGTGCTTTTTAATAAAGAAAATGATTTGATTACTGATTGCAAGACTAATTAACTTCTCAAAAGGCGAGTGGGACAGAAAGGGCTGAAAGCTCTAATCGTACGTTTTTGCCACACGCCCAGAAAGTTGTAATGTAGAAATGGTTGGATTATTCTCCACTTCACCTTTCAATTATCAGAAGAGCAACACATGTGGTAAGAACCCTCCTTTACTAATTGGAGTTAGGGAGAAATGGTAGGTAAGGCACCTGGAAGACAGACAAGTGGAAGCAGTAACTCCATGCAGCTGGCTGAAAACAGGAAGCGGACGTAGCTGTATAAAATCAGAGGGGTCCATCCTTTCACCCTTTGGGCTCAATTGTTCAACTATCACGATGACATTCCATGATATATATTATAGGGTGGAGGTGATCTAAAGGAAGAAGTACTACTTCCAGGTGAAATGTAACATACTGTGCCTATGCTGAGGCAGGATATGCCTGAGAATATGTGAAGTACGAGACGACATGAAGTAGCATCCTGAGGGTGTATGTTACTGAATTTTTATATATTACAATTTGTGCCACATCTAGTAAATAAGCAAGTTGATAGGACAGTCTCAATGGTAAGCAATGCAACAATATTCTGGCTTGACCAGCCAAATACCTACAATGAAGGCAGAGGGGGCCTCTCTATCCCTTTCCTGTGGCTAAAAATACTAAACATTGTGTTTCAGTCAACAGAAGAAATTAATTTACTATTACAGAATTGATACTAAGCTATCACTATGTTGCAGATAATATTTAAGAATGAATTATTTTCCATGCATTGTGTTTGTGACTTTCAACCTATTTCACTGCAGAATTGTTACAACTATTTATATTAAAATACCATCTTGTTTGATTATTCTAGAGCATATCTCCTGTATTTTAGATCTGCATGAATTAGAGTCAATTCTCCAAGATATAGAAAATTGCTGAGCTAAAAAATGAGCAGTCACATCTTCAGATAACTTTCATCTTCCATCAAAACGTCCTTCAGAAAGGGTCATCTCTTCCCCTGGCTCAAACTTTTTTTTTTAAGGGGAATTTTCCTTTGGGTGTCTTAACCAATTAGCTTGGGGGTTTGGTACTGCCAATTACAGGTATGCAACTGAGCAATAAGGATGTCAAGTATGTTGCCAGCTCTCCCTTGTATGCTATTAATTTATGAAAATAAATTAGGCAGGAAAGAAATTACTGAAAAGACAGAGAGAAGTCATTTGATTGTTCTGGAAATGACTATTATGATGAATGATGATGGCTGAATGGATTTAAACCAACTGCCAACTGCTGACTCATGTATCAAAAAGCAGAGATCCTTTTTAAATGACTAAGCAGATGCATATTAAATTCCTTGCATATATTTTTTTAAAAAGGCAATAATCAATCGCAAGATGGATCTGTGCAGAAGCTCTCCTGACCATGGCTGCCATCTCTTTTTCTGGCAGGAGCAAAGAAGAAAACCTTTAAATTTTGCACCAATTCTTTCTGGGAGAGGATAAACCCATCCAGAACTCAAAGCAGATGGACCTCCAAATTCACAGCCACTCAGTCTTCCTTGGGTTGTGTAGGGAAAATGAGAGATGATCTTGAGAAAAACAACCAAGAACCATTGGTTAAATGGTTAAGGAGAAGGCTGAAATGTCTTTTAAGTCCTGGGAAACAAGGCAGTGTTCGGAAGAGGCGCATGCAGGCTCTTTGATGCTCAACAGGTTGTGCCAAAGTCTGATCTTTTCCATCCAGATCCTCACCACTTCCAGACCTTGACAAAGAACTTGATAGCATCACTTGGACACAGTAGTGTGGGGATGTGTTATTAAGTTATCACCAGCATGCTGATGATGCCTGATCCCATACGGAAGTAGTCGCATGTAGATGATAAATAAGGAGAGCAAACAGGCCTGAAGGAACCCACAAAGGAAGGCTTTCAGGTTAGATCTCCACCCCTCACTGATTGGGGCTGGCCCCAGAGGAAGAAGGAAAACCACTGGAACACTGGGCCTTTTGCTCCTGAAACTTGAAACCAGTGGTATCAAAAACTGCTGAAAGATGAAGGAGATTGGGGTACATGCAGGTCCCGAAGTTTTCTGCAGGATAAACATCATCTATAATTTTTGTATTTCACATTACTGTTCAGCTTCTTCTCCAAATTACCAATTTGGCTAGATGAAATGTTTGGTTGTCTTCTAGAACAGTGGTGGGCTCCTATCGGTTTGGACCGGTTCAGTGGAACCAGTAGTGGTTTGGCGGCCTGGGTCGCTCGAACCGGCAGCGACCCAGGCCTGCCATGCCCCCATAGGCACCGCCATCTTGCTTTTTGCTTCTACGCATGCACAATTTTCATTGCACAAATTTAACTTTTTTCCCCATTTTTTAATGTTTTGCGCATGCGCAGACTTGTTTATCAGCAAATGAGCACGCACACCGAACCAAACCGGCAGTAATGCTGGGAGCAACCCACCCTGTTCTAGAAGATATTCTTCCTGAGATTGGATAGGTTTTTTTTAGGTTGCCAAAAGCTTAGTTAGTGTTTACACATTTCTATTTTCAAATCATTTTTTAAAATTTTATTTGATATTCCTGACATAAATAAAAATATTTTTTTGCTCTGGCAAAACATTATGGTTGTCAATCATGCGGTTACAGATTCGCATCAACTTTGCTCCTCTAAAGTTTAGATTGTATAAAATGGGTGGATCAACCTTGATATAAGATTATCTAATAAAACCTGAACTTGCTCGGGTGACTTGTCCACCTGCAGGTCCAACTCCACTGAATTAAAACCAGGATATATATTAATGCTCCTCTGATTATTCTTAACAAGAGAGATGATGATGATGAAACAATATGGGACATCTGTGTAATTAACAGGACAAAAAGCAAACAAAAGGCTGGATTGCAAAATAGCACTAGATGCACCAACATTTTTATAGAGTCTTTATGTAACCTTGATCACAATTTACATATAGAAAAGATTAAAAAGCCATGAAGCTTCCATGACCATAAGAGTCCAGCTCTGCAAGCTCTACGAACAACATTGACACCTATAGAAAGGGGCTTGAAACACTTCATCAGTTGCTTCTCACCATCTTTTTATCAAGAACAGCCTATTCCCTAAGCACCTAATAGATGCTGCACCATATACCTACTCTGTGAATGCACACAGTCTCTGAAAGGAAGTGTGACCCTCTGGCCTGCATCATGTACTCTCTTGGCCATGGCTGTTTAAAATGGGACCTGAGATCCAAGAGACTTATTGGGAAAGCCAAAAGAAATCCTCTGAACCCTGAAATTCATGTTGACTCTGCATTAATGATAGTGCCTTCCTGTCTTATACACCCACACTATCTTTCAGCCCATCGATATCCATATTCCAGGGAGCAGGCTTGAAGTGGTCCTCTTCTCAAGGGACATTGGAAATGGTAGGGTTACGTGGATCAGAGAGACAACACACTTGAGAACACTGCAGCACCTGCCAAAGAAAGACAGCACAGTCCTGTGAATTATGGAGAAAGCATGATGAGCAAGAGAGGATTTAAAGTCACATTCCCAGGACCAGAAATCAGAATAAGGGCAAAAGGAAACCAAGCCCAAGGCCAACAGTCTTTGCTGGAAGATTGTAATAAGCTTAACATGCAGTTGTACAATGTCCCTTGGTCTCTGGAGGACAGGTTTCATACTCCCCAAAGCAGGCAGAATCGGTTTCTTTTGGAAGGAGGGGAAGGGAGGAGTTTACAGGGGAACCCTCCAAAGGAGAGGGCACTTATGGTATCTTGCTCCTTAAAGGTAAAGGTAAAAGATTCCCCTCGCACATATGTGCTAGTTGTTCCTGACTCTAGGGGGCAGGGCTCATCTCCGTTTCAAAAGAAACCGATTCT